AACTGTCAGGCTGGCCAGAAAGGCCTGGCTGCCTGAATGGGGGAGGGAGGCAGCCCTGAAGGTGTGCACAGGAAACTGCATCACCACCCTGGGCTCCAAGGGAAGGGGGAACCAACCACTACAATTAATGCCCTGCCCAGCCTTAAGATGCCCACTTTTGGGTCTGGTACTCTAATCAGCGCATCTGGCCCTAACAGAAGCCTTGAAGCTATTGTGCCAGTTAGTGACTTCAGAGCTGTATGAAGTGCCACAGGAGAGGGGACCCAAGGGAGGGGAGTGAACTGTTAGTGCATTTTCCAGGTCTGCTCCCACCAGGCCTAACCCTCATAGGACCATGTTTTTGTCAGGGTTATAATGTATCATTTTTGATAATTGCCTTGTGTAAACTTACAGAGTTTATCAATATAAATACTGTGTATAAATAGGTCACACACACAAACTCCTGGGGATTCTGGGAGAACAAAGCAACAGTGTATAAGAAGGGCACACAGCTGTGGCCTGTGAGGTAGGGGAGCTGGCTCTGAGGCCTGGCTCTGCCAGCACTCCCTGTGTGTCCTTGAGTAAGTCCCTTCTATGTTCGGGCCTCAGTTTCCCCATGGGGATTTGGTCTGGAAAGAAGCTCTCAGGAAAGTCATAGATCTACCATATCCTGGCCTGTAACCTCTCTGGTTCTACTGAGCAGGCTTGAAAGTAGCTAGGAAAGCCACCAGCCAGTCCCATGACAACAATGGTTCTGCCCCACAGAATCCAGCCAGCATGGAGTCCCTGCTGCAGGGTGGATTCCAGAATTTCCCTGGTTTCTCCTGGGACCCTGGAACCAAGAGAGCCCCCTGGAGCCTGTCCCTGGAGCCTTGGCTAGAGAACAATGGAAGCTCCTCTCTCAGAAGCCAGCTCGTCACCCACGGCCTCTGGAGAGGCTGGAAGAGACCAGACCATGGGGCCCCAGTGGTAGGCAAGTACTGAGGACACACACTTCGTTGGGTTTGGGAAGTATTTATCATGGGCACATCACTCAACTCAGCTTATGTACCTGGGCTAGGGGGCTGGGAAGCAGGCTTGGGATTGGAGCCTCAGCATAACTTCTGATGGAAGATGTTTCAGGAATTTTGCAAAAGCTAACTTTGGGTCGGTGATGAGGAAATATCCAGGCCTGGATCTACTCTCAAAGCAAGGAAGGGTGCTCAAGAAGCCCAGCATTGGAGCAAATCGCCCACATCACACCTTGAGGGAAAGAACAGCTACC